ATCTGGCGAGGAGAGAGCAACCAGCTAAATAACCTGTGCTCTGAACGGCGTCAAGAGCACTTTTGGAACATATCCATGCCTGCCCTTGGTCTGATGCTGCGGTCACACCAGACGCGAATGGAGCGTCTGGCGTGAGTGATTTCAATTCTTTTGGTTTTTACGCGCGTCAATTTCGCTCTTGACGCGTGAATGGATTCAAAGTGTTCAAGCGTATAACTAGGGTTGGGAATCGTAAGAAATTTTTCGGTTCCGGTTCCGATTCCGGTTCCGCCAAACGATTCCGGTTCCCATTCAATAAAAATTATTAAAACAACTAATACAAATAGTATTTCTGATACTTGTCAAATGAGTTTAACAGACTGGCAATGTCAACAAATGCAACATATTATTTAGCAATAATTTTTTCTGAAGGAAAATAAAAAATGTTGCATTCTCAAGGATAATTTGGGACCTCTCCTATATCTTATTGTATCTCCAGCAGTGGAATACCCTCTCAGAAGGGGTAGAATATGCTTGAACACACATGTAAGATCCAGACAGGTGAAACATAATATTTTTTAAAATCGGTTTGAATGATTGATTCATAAAAACTTTACTTGTTTCCTTACTGGATTAAAGTGCTCTAGCAGTTAATAAACAGAAATGCATGCGTCTTGCGGAAGAACATTGTAGCCGGAGCTACTTCTCTATATTTATGTCTATGACGCGGGTGAGTCACGCAGGCACTGGGCTACTCCGCAGCAGTGCCGAACCGACCAGTGTAAAGTAGTCCGAGTTTAAACGCTTATTACAGCCTTACCTTAGTGATTCAGGATATGACAAAAACACGTTTCGAAAAAAGGCATTCATGATGTAATCGCTCATTATATACATTTTGTAAATTCTGAAGCGAATTTTCGTTATTTGAAGCGACTTTCAAAAGGTGATTAACTGTTTTGGTTGCTACAGTAGACATCAGTGTTTATTCTCGAACTATAAACTTTTATCTCAGTACTTCTGTGATCATTTGAATATTTTTAACACAGAAATATCGATACTGTGTTGTTGAAAAGACTGAAAGTAAAGCTAGCTGTTTCATGTAGAACTGCTCTCTCTGGGTCAGCGACAGCGCAAACAGATTTGAATGTCCCGGTGTGAAGTTTTTGTCATTTAGGAATAAGATCGCGTGAGTGTTTGAATCGAGATCGTTTAAAGATTAATGGTGCAGCTCTACTGTCTTTATTCTATCTCTCTGCGTTGATATCTGACGCAAAAAAAAAAAAAAAGTAACTTGTTATGTATACGAATAGCGCGAGGGACAGTGCATTCATTACAATTTTAATATTCATGTGGTGAGACGTCGCTATTAAAGGATAAGCTCCCAGCACTTCGTCCACACATCGCATCAGAACCGTTTTCGGAACCGAAACTCAGGAATTTCGCACGGTTCCGGTATTTTTGAAAAAACACTACCGGTTCTGCATAAGAACCGGTTCTCGGTTCCCAACCCTACGTATAACTAGACGCGGTAGCCGCGAATTTGACGCACTATTTGCGTCTGATGTGAACGCAGCATTAGGACGACTCTCGAGTTGCTTCGCTCGGTTATGCCAATACCGGTGGACGCTTCGTTGGGGTTCAGCGGTTTCTTCTTCCGGTCGGCGGAATCGAAACTAGGAATCGAAATTTAAACTTTTGAACGATTCCGGGAAAATTGCAAAGCTAGTCCCGGTTCCAATCAATACTCGATATCTAAGCCTAGGAATAGTTCACCCAAAAATGTTAATTCTGTCAATTTACTCACCCTCATGTTGTTACGAACCTGTATTAAAATAATGTGGCTAACCAAAAATTTGGGAAAAAAATATACTATGGGAGTCAATGGGGACCCGCAACTGTTTGGATACACACATTCTTCAAAATAACTTTTATTTTCAACAGAAGAAATAAATTTATTTGGGTTTAAAACAACTTGAGAGAGTAAATAATTAAATAAACAGAATTGAAATAAATTACAATTTTCATTTTAGTGGGAACTATCCCTTTGTTAATGTTAATTAAACAACAAAAAGCAAAGAGAAAATCACTCTGCTCTTGACTGAGAACTTAGTAGCTTTAATAAGAATTAAAGCATAATTTATATAGTAAAGTCTATGTAGTGTTTTATTTTAAAAATTGTTCATTAAATTTCTTTCTTGAATGCTACTGTTAAATGCACCTGTAGCTGAAAAAAATAAAAGCAATGTTTATTTAATTTGTATATTATGTTGTGTAAAGTGTATATGTAATGTGCATCTTTGTTCTTATTTTTTAATAACAAAAACAAAAATGACAGATTTTTATCTTCGCCACTTTGGCCTAAATGTCTACCATTCTTTTTTTATTTTATATTTTGTGATCTTGTAAGGCTTTGTTTGTAAAATAGAGACATTAGTTTGGCTGTAATGCTCAGTCACTTGCAAAATATTAAAACCAACATGCAAAAAACAATCCTGATAAAATCGTGAATCGCGATTTTCTTGAAAAAAAAAAACGTGATATATTTTTTGCCATAGACGCACACCGGTTACATCACAGTTAGAGAACAGACACTACACTTATAAACTAAACAAGTCTGCTCAATTTAGCGTGAGCCGAACGAGTCGCAGATCAGCAGCAGGAATCATGTTTCATTTATTAGCACGGTGTATGCCGTGCTTATTCGTTTTGTTAATAAAAGTTCTAGGTTTAATATAAGAGAGTTTGTCAATGTACTGTTTTGTTGTGTTTTTCACTAAGAATAATAATGAACCCACCATTCAAGCAATTCCTGCTAATTTGAAAGCAAAAGTAAAATGCGCACGGCCGCTTGGGCATTCACAAGCGATTGAAAGAGGTGGAAAATAGGGAAAGCACCAACATGCGTTTTAATTACCTCATCTGTTGACATGATGCCGGTGAATTGCAGAGCTGGTACAAACATATCCATATCGCTACGGTGTCGCTAATAACAAGGGTTTCTGAATTCAACACAGGCCCTTTAACTGAAAAAATAAACCCTAATAAAAATAGACCTCTACCCACTGGATTGACACTTAAGAAACGCAACAAAAAATGGAATGCAACGTTTCTGCAATGTAATTTCTTTTCTTTTTTCACCTCTGTGCAGAAGATTTTTTTTTTTTAAATATAGTAAGATGTTTTTTGTTTTTTTTTACTTTCTCTGAAAACTTTAAACCCTTTCATTATGCAAGTAAAATGCGAACTAGCAAGAACATTTCTCTAGTTTCCAAAAATATAGAAAGCTCCATGAAAATACTGTCCGCATGCTTTCTATAATAATAGATGTGCAATAATAAAAATGTCTTTTGTTTTCTCTATTTGAACACCTCTTGCACACCTGAACAGTTGCAGGCAGGTGCGTTGGATACAGAATATAAAACAAAAGAAAAATATCCTGCATACTGCTGTTGCCTGCAAGAAATCCCATTTTTACTTAGATAGCAACATTTCAGTCAAAAAGACCTTTGTCAGGAATTAAAAAAAAAAAACCCATGGACTTGATTTGCATTTACAAAGTGTAAACAGGCAGGAATGCAGCATTTCTCTGTTTTATGGAAATATAGAAAGCTTGTAGATAACATCAAAGGAAAAAAAATTTCTTGTCTCCATACACTGTATTTATGCAAACGAAATGCAAAAAAGGAGGAATACAAAGTTTCTTTAGTTTATGAGAACAGAAAGCTTTGTGTAAAGAAAATATTGCTTTATACGCAATTACACACTCGTCCTGAATACACTAGAACCACAAATAAACATTTCTTCTCTGGTTTACAAAAATACAGAAAGCTTGTAGAAACAGTCATCTTTCTTTGATAATATATACATGCTTCCTCTGAAAACAGCATAACCCTAATGAAACCATTCTCATTGGTTTTTTTTCTATCTCAGCCATTTTCTGTGACTGCAGTGACACTACTAGCAGATGCAGGAAAAACTAGTAAGGAAAGGGGGAAAAGAAATGTTGCGGGATGAACAAAAACTGTGATAAGTCTGTATTATTCCCTTGCTTTTTGTAGTGATTTTTGTTCGTCTCCGCATCAATGATAACATTATTGAGCCCACAATACTGCTGCAGCTTGAACATACAAAGAAACGGAGATGAATGAAAACTCTAACGCATACACACACACACGTTCAATATGGACACATGGCCATGTGACAGGAAGAGCCTTGAAAACGCTCAGACAGAAAAATGAGCTCATAACACAGGACGAGCAGTTGACAACGCTAGTTTTCTTGCTGAACGCGTGTGCGCGCTTGAAACAGCACTGTCATTCTCCTCCGTCCCTCTTTGCAGTCGGGGAGGTTGGGAGTTGCCCGCCAAACCCTCGCAAGTAGCCACCATTATCACTTCAAGATCATTTTTCTCCTCCAAAAGGAGAGATGGATTATTTGCAAAACTTGCGGATCTTCTCTGTCTCTCAAAGCGTCTCCTTCTGCTGCGAGTGAGTGAACCAGAGAGTTAAAAATAGCTCGCTCTCTCTCTCTGCACTACGTTTACATAAGCGTGGGGGGGGGCACTTCCGGTTTAAACGGCTCAGCCCAGCGTCTGATCCACGACAACCACCAGTGGATGCGGGAGAAGACAGGACACACGCACACATATGCGCCATAATGCAGGAAACCTTTCAATGTATACCCAACCGTGTTCAACATTCATACTTCCATGTCTTCTTAAAGAGTCTATCTGTCTAGCACTCATCAGTCTCTCTTTTTCACGTTCTGTCACTTCTGCCCTAATCACATTTCTATTTCCCTCCCTCTTGAATGCATAAATCCGTCCGATACATGCAACGTGCTAAGAAAGTCACGCAAACAATTTTACATCAAGTCAAGAGAGTCGAGTGTTACCAATCTGACCAACTATTACATGTACATTCCAATGCGAATCAGCTTGGTTAAAATTGCTCTCATTTAGCTTTCAAATACTAATAATTCTGCACAATTAAAAAGCAATTCAAATTAATCAGAATACTCACTACTGTGCGCAGTCGATCAGTTGATATTCGTTGGATCTTTCGAAGCAAGCTCTCACCCCTTCATCCTGCCACAGGGTCTTTGTGTGTTCATAAAATTCCTGTTGGGAAGAGAAGTGGAAGAGAGGACAAACCCATAAACTAGCTGTTGGAATCCAGGCAAATCTTTTACACCTCTGTAGCTTGGCCACATCATTTTTCTCGTTAGAGCATGCTAACCTGTATAAAAATAAAACCCACCACCACTGACTGGTCCATTTCAGGCATTTCAGTCCATTTCAATCTGATTTTTTTTTTTAAAAATTGTCATTTAAAAAAAACTAGTTCAGATTGTTTTTTTCCTCCAGATTTTAACAGAACAATAACAAATAAAAAAATTAATTGTATAGGAATTCCGAGGACTAAACAAAATTTCTAATCAGGAATGTCATGTCAGTGAATACACATACATCACAAGTACACGAGTTTACGGGGGAAAGAATTCTTGATTCCCAACCCGATTTAAATGTAAACCAAAGGAAAAATGCTGTGTCCAGAATTTTTCCCAAAAGAAATTCTGGACTAAACCGCTCAATTTATGTGGATTAGTTTAACGGTCTCATTATGAAATTTTTGACGCGTCAAAGTGTCAGTTGTACAGAAAGCTCTCAGATTTCATCAAAAAGATCCTCGTTTCTGTTCCGAAGATGAACGAAAGTCTTACGGGTTTGGAGCGACATGAGGGCGAGTAATCAATGACTGAATTTTCATTTTTGGGTGAACTATCACTTTAAGACCAAAGTTAATGTGGGTGGGAATAATTAACACAACATGCTTTTTCTTTTTTATTATTTGTGCAAATGATCTCCATCCTATGCACTTTTTAATAATACAGCAGAATTTTATCATTTACCGTATTTGCCAAAAAAATAAGTCGCAAAGAGCATCATTCGCACCAGGTCAAACTTGCATTGTTGAGGAAAACACAGACACAAGTCGCATCAGTGTAAAAATCACTTTTTATTATTAGCCTAAATAGGAAATATTGTAAAATACCGATAAATAAAATGAAAAGTTAAACATTATAAACACTATTAACATGTAGGCCTTTTTTACTTCCCCTAACTCCACAAACAATCCTTTCAATTACTGGTATTCAGAACAAAACAAGAATTAAGTATAAAGTAAAAAATAAATTAGTGACATTCACCTAAAAGCGTTGGGCTTGCACACCTTTCATTCGGTCCAAAATGTTTTCATATTTGCGATGTAACACCTGGATGCTAAACTATTATTTATGTAAAGAAGGCTTTGTACTTCAGACAAGAAATAAGCGGAGAAATAAGTTTTGAATAACAGCAAGTCGACAGTAGGGGGATGACTGACCGGCACGGCCTTCATATTGTACAACAGACAAATTCAATTAAGCAGAATAACTTTTTGTGTTTAATTTACTGGATTTTATTTTGATAATGAACGGGCAGCATGATGTGTGTGGGCGTGAGGCATCGACGCAATCACTTTCCTCATAGCAGCGGAAACAACTTAATACTCTGTCATTTATGGTCATACAGATAAGAGCAAGATATTTAAAACAGACAGTAAAGTGTATTTTAATTTGTGTATATTCAAAATGTCATGCTATTGTAAAATAAAGAAAACAAACAGGATCCGCTTTCAGCCGTCTCAGTTTAAACATCTTTCTGGAGCACGTCACAAAAATGAACCAAAACACTGCGATTACTTGACGCACAGACATGAGAATTATATCTAGAAACCTTTAGGTGCCTAATTATTAAAAGTCTACGTTTTGGTCGGCGCCGATAGCCTCGTGGGCAAGTGCGCCGACATGCAGCACCGTTGTGCTTCAGGCAACCCGAGTTCGAGTCCCAGCTCGTGGACCTTTCCCGTCCCCCCTCTCTCACCTCACTTCCTGTCTAGCTACTGTCCTATCCTAATAAAAGGCAAAAATGCCCAAAATAAATCTTTTTGTCTACATTTTGATTATTTGACGTTAAATGCATTATACAAGTCTGTATATAATATATAAATATTGGAGGTAGATGTTAACATTATACGCATCAGTTAAGCTCTTCTGCTTTCTTCTTTCGGATAACATGCATAACATTTTTTTTTTTTTACATTTAAATCACCAAACAACATACGCACCTCATGTATAACAAAAGCCACATTTATAGAGGAGTTCAAGACAGAACTAAACGGTTCTGACCACCCACTGTGATTCAGATGTGGTGGTGAAATATGAATGAGCATTTGAAATGAAAGAACTTCCAATAAAAGCAGGACACAGACAGCTTTTCCACCTTTTAAAGCTGTTTATATGTAGTGCCCATAATGGCACGAACATGAACAGCAAAGGAGCAGGGACAAAGGAAGAGCGACACCGTGGTCCCAATAGGGAACATTACTTGATCTTTGTTTGTGTGTTTGGAAATGGTAGCATTAACTTTGGCAAAACTCCTTTAACATAAAGTAGTGCCACTACACTGTTAAACATGTAGGACAGAGCCACACACTTGAGAGTCACGCCACCCACCAACTCTCACTGCTCTTACCATAAACATTTATTTTGTGGGTATCTGAATTTTTGTATCATGCTAGTTTATGATTCAACTTTTTGTTTCCATCATTCAAAAATGTTAATGGAAATCTACATGTGGCATTAAATATAACAGTAAAATATATAAGTAGGCTAAAACTGTTCTGCATTATTATATAAATGAAAATGTAAAAGTACCATACTTTTGAGTATTTCAACCGTTTTTACTGGTGTTTCTAACATCAAACTTTTTGAATGCACTTGGCAACAGTGGCTGTTTGGTAAAATGACAGATCCTCTTACTAAAAAAAAAACATTATTGAGATGTACAATGAAATGGCAAAAAAGAAAAACACATAAATTTTTAGCTATTTTGCCCAGCCCTAGCATGAGTAATGCTAAAGCATTTTGTGTGCGTTATTTTTATTCATCTCATCTACATCTGTTTTTCTCTCTGTCCTTATGCTAATACTCTTCACCAGTTTCCTCCTAGCTCGATAGCTTCACGGGAAGTTTATTTTTTAATAGAAATATTACAACTCAGCCATGCAACAGTGTTAAAATAGCAGTCATTTACAAACAATGGGACTTTACATCCTAAAGTGACATGACTGAGTTATAAATGTCAATAATTGCTTTGCTTTTTATTTTTGTCTCTTGCTTGCAACACAATCAACCAGTCAGACTGGTTCCCAGCGGGCCCTGGGGCCACCGAGGGAGGGAGAGAGAGAGAGAGAGGGTGGGGCACTATCTTCTTTGTAGTAACGCTAAAACTCCAACCACTTCCTGCATTCAATTCTGAAGTTTAACAGTTAACGATCAACTCGGAATCACGCAGTCATCCAGACGATCCGGTGACATATCCAGTTTTTAGGTGTCAAAAATTCCAATTCGTTGTTTTCGAGAATTCTAGTAATGTTCATGTAATGATGTAGCTAACTATTTAAAACCTTGCCTAAACCAGCAGGTGAGCTGTTTGTGTTCTCTATTTTTAAGTCCATAGGGCCACCAAGTTTGAGTCACCCGTAATTAAATCTTGAGCTGGCCCATTGGCGCAGGTCAGGGCGGCTCTCCACTGCCCTTTCCCTAGACACAGAGCACCTGTCTAGGTGATGAGGGAGCAGGGAGGTCCTGGGTGACCAGGTGTGTCTCTCAGGTGAGGCCCTCTTAAGGGAGAGTTTAGAGGTTATTACAAGTAATCAGTCGTAATGAACGCCACACCATTACACCCGAGAGTCACAGGTACACACACCCACATTTCCCTCAGGTGGGGTTCTTTTTCAATTCACCAATGTGTTGTCCCCAAGCAAAGAATCGCTGCTAATCATAATTGCACAAAGCACACCATGCAATACGACGGAGGAGAACACTCAAAACAAACTTGTGCGGTCTGACAAGATCCACGACAATTAGCCAGAAACGAAATGCATGTAACACTTATTTTTTACATGTACATACAGTGCTCACACACTTCTTTGCCTTTTCTACATTTAAACTTGATCTGTCTTTCATAAAAAAAAAAAGTCATGTTTTTTATAACTAAATACGTCTGTTCAGCTGAAAAAGGCGGAACGTAACACTGAGACGGTGCAAAGACTCTGGGGTGATAATACCTTTCTACTCACCGTTGTGAACTCAAAGTCCTTCTGATTGGCCAAGTTGAGGATGTAATCAATTCGAAATTTATTTGCTTGACAGGCTAACTGAACTGAAGGTACCAACATGGACATTGCCGTCACAATAGTCTGTAAAGGAACAAAGACAGTCAGAGTTTCAGTTGAGTTCACATTTGTACATGTTGAGATTACGAGTTCAACTCAAGAACCTTCAACACTTACCTCTATAGCTTCTTTTATATTATTCTTGATGTCTTGAATTTTCTGTTTTTTCTCTCTGTAAAAAAAATAACAACGCTTGGTTACTTCAGATCAATTCATTTTTAGGAAACGTAATAAAATAGCTTTACCCCCGGTTTCATAGACAAGGCTTTAGCTTAGTCCTGGACTAAAATGCATGTTTAAACTGCATTAACAACTTGGTATGTCATAACTTGTCATAAATGGTATGAATTAAATAACTTAATACTACTTAGGGTTGGAAGTTACAACAACTTTTTTTTTTTTAAATCACAGTATGAATCATTTCATATCATTGTAATACACCACAACAACAGTATTTTTGCTGGAAATTCAACCAAAAATGGTTTTATATTCATATTATGAGTTGAAGTCTATGTTTGAATAATCCATTGAATTAAATGGCCTACTTTACAAATTAAGGTGCTTTATTGCTATAATTACTTTCTCTTTATGATGTCGATAATAATAAGTCTCACATTATAGAACACTGGAATTAAAAACAAAAGACTTGTAACTAATATTATAAAACTGACAGTTCAGACATTCTTATTGGACGAGCTGCAATGGCTGCAAGTTGTTATAAATTAGCAAAAATACAAACGTGACCATACATAAACTGAATACCATATTAAATGCATGTAAATTATGTATTCATGCACAAATATATCGACCACAGCTTACATGGTATAACTAAATATCTAACATTACACAAACCACCAAGCCCTAGCATTAATAATTCAGGTTTCCTGACTTTTTAGTAATCAACTTATAACTTCTTGTCTTGTTTCTGAAACCAAATTTTTACCTATGTCGAAATCCTGATCCATATTTTGGTAGCCTCTGTAGTATTTTTGCACACCTCTACTACACTGATCGAGGAGTAGATTAGTGTACTAGTGGATTATAGCAACTTTACAAAAGGTAATATCAAAACTGGTTTTAGACCATCCAAGCTAGATAGTAACTTTTTGAAATAAAGTCAGCATTTAATTATAATGGGATTTTCAGTGAGCAATATTCATAGTACATTAATAAGAAGTCCTATCATGAAAGAAAAAGCACTGCATTTCACAATAAATAGATATACACTAAGGTTATACATACATAGATCACTCTGAAATATATCAAGAGGACAACACAATAACATAAGGCACACCTTTACCACAATAATTTGACGATTTGTCAACAAGACGATGTTGCACTTGCCAACAAAATGGCATGATGAATGAAACGGGGTTTGTTTATGCTATATTTCATACTTGACTGTATGCTGTTTATGGACGCAATAAAAAAACTAGTCTTGAGTTTAACTTAAGCAGAATCAAAAAAAGTACATAGATGTGAAAGCCATACTTACTCAGCATTGAAGCCATTGACATGTAAAATGCGCATCTGTTTGACTATGGTGCTTTTCCCCGATTCTCCAGCCCCTGAGAGATGAGCAAAAGAAAGATATAAATCACAAGGGATGTGGGAAAGGGGGGGTCAGATATCACCTGATTCAACAGGAATAATTCATTACATTTCACAGTGGCATTTCTTTTATAAGACAAACTAAACAGCAAATTCCTACTAAAATCCAAAGCACAAACTGTTTATGAATTATATTATTATTATCATTAATAATGCCATCATAACAATCATATTCATAAATAAATGCAAGTAAACCTAAACTAAAAAGTAACTGGTAGCTATCCATCAAATTAAATACAAATTAAATAAATAAATGAGAACCTTTATCACAACACATATTCTGTTACCAGGCTCCAATTGTGTCAAATAATTGTGTCTGTTTGCATACAGGAATTGCACTTTTGTGCTCCAATTACACTGGTACACATCCCTAAATCATATATCATTACGACACACTTCAATCATGGGTATCTACATATATACCCGTTTCCTCACTTAAATACCAGACATTATGATTTAGAGTACTTCGCTATGTTGAATACATTGGATTTTGATTTAGAACAGGGTACTTTTAGGCCATGTGTGTATAGCTCAAGCATGCTAAACAAATAGGTTGTTGGAGAACTGAGTTTGATCAAAGTAAGTAAGACCAGACCCGTCTCTTAAACAGAGACTAAATCAAATCAAACCAATGTTAAAACATTTTCATGCCTGGCTACGAAAAGTCTATGAAGTTGAAATGCTTGATGATTACATCAGACTCAAGGTAGCAAGGCAAGTAGTGTTAGACAGACCAATATGGGTTTTTTAATGGCCCAATATCTAGAGGAACAGAGTGGATGAAATAATGCTGATATAAACATACTACAGATTAATGAAAGCAAATAAGACAATTTCTATCATTTTTTTCAGTATTTACTCAATTCACACAAAAAAAGTAAAAAACAAAACAAAATGTGTATCATTTATCAGTAGATTTTTGGAAATGACAATATAAGCGAAATTACCATTTCTATTAATCGCCTGGTTAATACAACGGTCTAGAACTAATCTAAGATATGAATGTTAAAAGCATATGAAAAAAAATATATATTAAATGATCTAATCAGTTTGTTTCAAATTAAAAGTGTTAAAGGGGGAAATATAATTATCAATTTGGGGATGCCCAGAATGTTAAAACATAAAATAGAACTATGCAAACAACCCTCCATATAAAATACCAGAATGATTCCAAATGTCTTGAGATATATTGAGATATGTCAAAAAGTGATGCACTAATCTCCCAAACAACTTAATTCAGAAATGTTTATATAAAGTTATTTTATTTCTATCTACATGAACGGGCAACATTGTTACTTTAGTAGAAACAATCCTAAACTCCTGAACACACAAGCCTACAGAAACACGTAATGTGTTTGCATACATCTCTATGAGATATTTGTAAGTGGATTATAAAATCATGTGAGACCAAACATTTCCATAATGCAAACCGTATTGAACACAAATCAGATGGGAATAAATGAATGAATGAAGAGATTGAGTGGTGTTAGATGAAGCACCACAGGCCTCCAGCCCTAGCCCTGAGGTGTCCACTACTAGGGCACAGGAATCCCAATCGAAGCGCGTGTACCTACATCACTTACCCGAACAAATGAATCAAATTCTCACAAAACGCTACGTGTGACAGACCCCGGTGACGTCACACGCCTCAGTCCAGCAGTGACAGAGGAACCTCAGCTTTCAGACCAACCTACCTAACAGTAGTAGTCGATGAGTTGCCCTGTAGATCTGTTTGTCTTTCTGGAGCTGTTTCTCTATCTTTTTGTTAGCTTCTCGCTGGGCCTTCTCCTCATTTCTCTGGTCCTCAGTTTTACTGTTGCCCAAACAACCCATTTTCCCGAAAACCCAAGAAAAGTTTTGTTTTGGGGTGGGGGGGAGGTGAATCTACCGTATGAATAAATGATCCAAATTCCTTGATTGGCCTCCGATCAGAACACTTTGATGGAAAACCGGGACATTTATACTTGTATGCACATGACTCCCCTGGATTTAGTTGATACGGGCAGGGGGAGCACGGGGAAATATGAAAGCTAAGTTATGGGTGACTAGTATTGGCGAGAATAGGTGCTGGTGAAAACACACTAGGCCAGCCTACAGACGGCCGAGTCCTGTCGAGCGCTTGCTGCTATAAAATATGAGATTTCTGTGTATGGATGTGCATCCAGCGAAGCCTTCGACGTTACATGAAGGATTTCGGCTTTCCCACGACGGCGATTTAGCAAATTTCCCGTGGCGAATCCATGGTCGGTGTCCCGATATAACGACCGACTCCTATTAAAATCATGAATAGCTCCACAAAACGCGATTCTTTTCGGTATCTTGCTGTCGAATCCGTTCGCCGATGCAACGACACGGGCAGAACGAGATAGAAAGGGTGGCTACAAATTAAAAAAATAAATATTTCCACCAAAATGACGGCATGTGGATCATTCCGCCCAGCGCCGTGGCCGACATGAACCTTTTAACTCCGTTACGAAACGACGTTTGTCTGCGAGGAAAAATACGGTGGTGTTGCTGAAAAATTCCCCTCAGATTGACGCTATTTTCCCTCCTGTTCTGCTTATGGTGACTGATCGCTTTTTTTCGGCTTGTCCAAATCAAACGAGGCCCTTCGCCGTCTTCTCCGTTACTGTAATTTGAATTTCTGCTCACATCCGTAGGCTTTGCTTTGACGCGAGCGGCGATCCTTAACGGTTCTTACAACCGCAGATGCAAATGTGACCGATTCCGTCGATATTTCACCGGTTATCGCAGTCCGAGTCCGCTGTCAGGCTACGCTTTGTATCCCTCTTGAATTCGGGTGGTAGATCATGTGCATTTGGATACGTGAAGATAAATCCGATACCACAACGACACCGATGGATCCCCTACGGACGGAGCGCGTTGAACCCCCAATTGTGGCGAATGAATCCTTTTCGAGGGTGTATTTTTAGCGATTATTTCCTTTTCTCAGTGAATTGTACATTGAGATAGAGAGAGCGTTGAAGAGATGGGTGGGGCAAACAGCTCTCATTGAACCCTGAGTACGGGCTAATCACATGACAGCCAGAAAACGTCAGCAAGCGGCGATTCTGCGGAGAAAAGGCGCCCTCTTTGAAGACATGAATCATACGTGATAAAGTTCGCGATTCACCCGATCCATCTTTGACTATTTACAGTTATCGCTGGTTATATGTAGGCAGTGCGATATACTCTTATGTTTAACGGATACGTTTCTGAACCACAGCTTCAACTTTAAATTATGTAAATATGCACATCTTGCATAGGGATTGGGAACCGAGAACTTATTCCGTTCAAAAAAATGGCGGAGGCGATTAATAATTGTTAATGAATAATGGTTCTTGAACGTTCATTGTCCATCCGAGGCGGATGAAACAGTTTTTAAATACTCTGACCAGTGTATGTTCGATTCCCGAAAGGATTACTCTTAAGAGTCGGTTCTTTGTATTGAATCACTAACATACAGCGCGACTAGTGCGTTATGATTCCCAAACGAATGACTCGGTTCTTTTTAGTGAATCAAACATTTATAAAATCGCACGCAGCACATACTGAGCGTGTACGAAAACGTAAACATAATATGTTTGTTGTAATATAAATAAATAACATATTTTCAAAATTATTTTCATTTTTGGGGGGTCTATGCAATACGAGCTCTTCTTTCAACGTAAAAATGACAAATATTTAATAAGTCAGCATTTAGAAATTACAAAAAGAATGTTTGAATTGAAGTGTTCGTCGTTTGTTAAAATTTGTCCATACATAATACTGAGGACTATTTCAGTGAATGTTAATTAAAACTCCCCCTTATCAACTTTAAGAATTAACTGATGCATTTGTGTGAGAAGGCACTTAATTATTAATCACTGCAGTGTAAATTAATGTAATTGCTCATAGGAGCAAAAAAGAGAGAATAGGTTTGTTAGGCTAATTTTCTTAATATTGTGCAAACAATTTGAAGGTGTATTTTACAGCCACTGATTTAAGCATGATTGCAACAATATGCAACCAGAAGTAAAACCTGCATGTTGCAAAGCATGTCACAACCAAAACATGGATTAAAGTGCTTGTGTTATAATTAAAATCTTCATACATCAGTATTTGGATTTTCCATTTCTAACTGAACACGTTAAATACTTGAATGAAGATTTACTTGTGCAATATATGAAATTCTGAATCAACAAACCAAAATAAATCAGAAATACTTTAAAACAATGACACCAGCATATATCTTCTATTCTGACAATTAATGACAACGTTCATTAGACTAAACAGGATAGCAAGGACTTCTTAGGGGTTTAAAACAATGGCTACAATCTAAATTAAAACTTAATAAAATAGCCTCAGGTTTTTCTCCAAAATGATTTTAATAAAAATTAGTCTTAGCATATGCAGTGTATTACTTTTTCGGTGTAAATATTACACATTACATTCATCAGACATGCTAGAAAGAAAATATATACTTGCTTGTACCTGCAATAAACCGTATTTATACTTTATAAATTGTTTTGTGTACACCCCATGCATTAGGTGTGAATTATAGTCTAGACTAGAGATACAGAGCTGTTTTTTATTATTATTATTTGCCTGCAGCTAATAAAAGAAAAGACAAGGCACTGACATTTCATTCAAGCTATAGTAACAGTCTAAAGCCAAACATGTATCTGGTGCCTTGATGTGTCAACTTAAGTCATAGATTTTTCAAATATATTTGTATTGCTCAAAACAAAGGCTTTAAATAGTGACATGATAACCAGAGAGTAAACCAAAGAATCAATGTGATGTCAACACATGATAAACTACTTTTTGGCAGTGACCGAATTGGAAAATGACGTTTCATTGAGCTATTATTCGACACACTGTGGTCTATTTTTGATCCCTTAATCTTGTGGTGTTCGGGAGCAGAGACTAAACAGACTCATTTGGAAACAAAGTCTGGTTTTACAGTGAGGTTGTATTAAAAGTTAAAAATCAACACAAAGTTAACTACACAAGCCACCATCTTCAGTTTAAGTTCCTCAATGGACACCCAATTAAATTCCATTCTGAGACTAAACCAAAGTTGTCACCTTTGGCTTTAAATAAGGATGCATGATAAACTGAGTATAACACTTGGGGTTGGGTGATCTATCTCCAGAAGGTGGCAGCATTTCTCTAATATTTGATCTCCAGCAGACTTGTTTTCTTGTGGAACTGTAAAAAATTATCATAATTTTAATGGTAAAAGTAAATTGGCATTCCCATAATTCCCTTTCTTCTTAGTTTTTTCCAATCAGTTATGTACATTAGGGGTTTATGGTACATCTAATTTTGTTAAATTAAATGTTTATTGCATTTTCCATGTCATGTCTGTTAGCATGATGGTGTTTAGTATTTGTGTGAATTACACTGTGTATTTACTACCTTGTGGAAAAGCTGCTTGTGATGATCTTTGATTCATCATGTGACTTTCACATCACCACCTGTTTATGGTTGTTGTCAGTGTGTTATAAAGGTACAAAACAGATATTGGTATAGGTTGGTATATTAGCATGATATCAGTTAACGAAATAAATGTTTTACTGTAAATTTAAGTGAAATCTGTAAAACCAAATATTTTACTATCGTATTTTGTACATTTCTGGCAACATGCAGCTGCCAGTTTTTTACCATAAATATCATGGATTTTTATTTTTTTACAGTTAACATTCCCAAATTGAAGCTTTTATTCACATAGCCTATGTACATTCATCAACTCACACAATAGCTGTGGTAAACGGAAGCTCAACCAATGAGATTCATTCTCGTGTTACGCACGACGTTTGAGCGTTCGCGAGATCCAATGAGGTTCCTTCTTGTTCATTCTCATATTTTTACTTCACGGTCACTCGTTGAAGTCGAGCGACCGTGGTGTAGTTCGTTTATAGCTTTTTACTTCGGGCGACTGCATTTAGGCTTTCAAAGTCATAGAAGTTGTGTTCATCTATGAAAGTGATTTTGATGGACAAAACATGTAACATTCATAAACTTTTGTTGATCACAGAGCTTGTTTTTTGCGATAATCCAAAAGCCTATGGAAAAATCCTATTGGGTTTTTGTTGAGGGAACCAGTGTGACGCTAACTGCCGATTGGCCTACAAAGTGACGTCACCTGCACCACTCTATATCAGACAATATTTCTCTGTGGCCTTTGAGAATTAGTTGGTTGAAAAAATGTCTTTGGAGTAATGGCTCGATTTGGTACTATATCCCCAATGCCATATTTCGTAAAGGCGGTCTAGAATTTCTTTTAAAATGTAATTTCGTCCCTTCTAAATTACTGATTTCTCTCTCAAAATTTCACCAACAGGCTTTACTTGCTTGGAAATTGTGTTATGTGCACAATTTTTCTCCCCATAAGGAAATTCTGTGGAATAATTTGAACATTTTAATCCGAAACAAATCATTTTTTATTGATAAGTGGTATGATAGAGGTATTGTTTTTGTTTTGGATTCATTTAAAAATGATGGCAGTATACTGGAATATGAAGAATTTATGACTTTATAATTTTCCTCTGCCTGCCAGAACTTTCAATTCTGTCATCAAAGCTTTGTCTCCGAGTTATGCATTTATTTAAAACACACCTTTTCTTTAATGAGAGAAAAACAATTATGCCCAAACTTTTATTGGATGCAGTTAGCTTTATTGATAAAAAATGTAATGGTAAACTTATAAAGCTATTGTTACATTACACAGTTTACACATCCCCTCGATGTAAATTTTTCTGGAATAATTTTTTTGACAGTATTCAATGGAAGAGGGCGTGGTTACTCCCAGAGAAATATTTTATGTCCAATAAAATTAGAGAGGTTCACTTTAAGATTCTTCATAATGTTTACCCAACCAACTCACAAATTGCCTCTTTTGTTGATATCTCTGACCTGTGTGTATTTTGTAAGGTTGAGAAAGAAACTTTCCTTCATTTATTCTACCACTGCAATCTGGTTAAGCCTCTTTGGGAGCGCTTGGGTTGTTATCTTTCTTATTTTATCAAATGTGATTTAAACTTTTCATTGAAAGATATATATTTTTTATTTTTCTGGGAGTGACTATGCCATTGATAATGTTGTTAATTTCTTTGTGTTGCACTGCAAATTTTTTATTCACAAAAACAAATTTCTCAAGACTTTGCCTAGATTTGATGTCTTTATTACTGAGATTTCCATTATAGTTAAATCTCTTAAACTCATCGATAACAGCAAGAACAATACGTTTCTTAAGAACTATGTAAATTTTTTTCTTACTTGTTGATGAATCTTTTTTTTTTTTTGTCTTGTTCTTGTTGTTGTTGTTAATGTATTCAATGCAGTGCTTTGTATCGTCTTTGTAAAAAGAATTTCAAATATAATAAAAATAAAAAATAAAAATATTTCTGTGGCCACATTTGCTCTGACATACTATCTACTTTCAAACTGAGGTTAAAATCACATCCGTTAAACGATTCCTTGAAGGGGATTCGAATGCAACTGTGTCTGTTTTATGTATTGTTTTCTATTTATTTTCTTTAAATATTTTTTTCTTTTTCTTTTCCTCTTCTTTATGTATTGATGTCGTTTGTGATTGTAAAGCCCTTTAAGCAACCTGTGTTGTATTAAACTGTGCTATACAAGAATAGAAGAAAGAAAGAAAGAAAGAAAGAAAGAAAGAAAGAAAGAAAGAAAGAAAGAAAGAAAGAAAGAAAGAAAGAAAGAAAGAAAGAAAGAAAGAAAGAAAGAAAGAAAGAAAGAAAGAAAGAAAGAAAGAAACTGAGCTGTGGTGCAAAAACAACAATTTTAATTCTGGCTCCAACAGCTTTGTCAATAGTAGAGATGCACCGATATGAACATTTTTGGCCGATAGTATACCAATGACCGATAATTCTTTATATTTGAAAGCCGATAACCGTTAAATTGGCCCATAAATCTAAATCCAAAGTTTTATATAATTTTGAGAGCCTGATTCCAAAAACAAAAGTCTCACCATTAAAAACCATGTCCCAAACACAATTATAATGTTCTCATCTCATG